TAGTTGTTACATTCATATCGGTTGCCATAAACCATTCTGATTCTTAAACCAATTTTAAACCGTTTTAAGCCACCACAGGTATTATAAATCATATTAGACATAGAATGTGCATTTTACTATTTGTAACAAATGAGCAGTAACGGAGCAGTATTTGTACAACAGTTAAACAATAACCGACACCCGGTGTTTCACAGAGACTATATGAGTGTCACAGATGACTGGAATTGGACATCAGATCATGACGCATAGTCATGTTGTCTCGAAACAAACCTGAAGTATGTTGCTCTCTATTATAAAGTTTATGACCAACCTCGTGATATATTATTCATGATTATATATTTCGTTGCCAAGAAGGGCCAGACAACAAAACTGTTTAACCTCATTTGAAACTATTTCATTCCAGCTATTAATATCCCTACAACGCCTTCATATACGACGACAAAGAGACCACAACAGTATGAAAGTATGTATCATACATATACCTTTGCTACTGGACTCAACATAACTCTAGCTTGAACATATTAGTGTTGGGAATTGGTTAAAATCTCAAAATTAATGATTGCTTCATTACAACCGATCAATCATCGAAAAAAATTGGTTAGCGTCATTTATGAATTTTTCCTGTTTATTTTTGTTAATGCACAAAAACATAAACAAAAAACATGAAGTTCTTTGGCTGTTTTTGTTGTTGCAAATTTCACATCTTGAAAGGATGACTAATATGTTAGGAACATAACATTCTTGTTTTTAAAAAAAATAAATTCAATCATGATTTGGAACAAGCTTGTAGTGCTCATGAAATGTAACTGATAAAACCAACCTTGTGAAAAATATTGTTAATGCAAAAAGTGTTCCAGAATTGTTTGTGTTCGATTATGAGAAAACATGATCGATTGCTTGGTCGTTTTGTTACTGCGACCAATCTTCGATTATTTCAATTAATCGGACCACCACTAGAACATATGATATACCCAACAAACTATAACATATAATACATCTAACCAAACTAATAGGCGATCACTTTATGTGTCTGTTTAACATACATAGTGATTCCTACATACTTAAAGAGCGAAAGCGATGTGACTTTTAAACTATCTTACAATTATTCGTACGTGTACTTGGGCCACATGAATAGAAATCCGTTGATTTGTTCGATCCAAACTAATTGGTTCCAATGTACTGACGAACATAATATGATCGACACATAAATAGTACTGCATGTTAACGATGCAGACAAACTATGATTACCATTTGTTTGGTTCCTTGTAGAGGTCTGTGACCACGCAGCAACGTACTTTGGAGACTTCTGTTATTCCTTTGTTGGGACGAAACAAATTTATATGCTTGCGGCGGTAAGTAGAAATATTACGTTTAAAACCCTAGAACGTTATGCGAAAACGGTAAAAGAAAGAAAACCATTTAGTTGGAGACTGAGTTCACATTGTTTGTTTTCGATCACTGTATTCAGACCAATATTTAAAGAACATATTTTGACGGGGAACCAGGCATTCAGGCCATGTTTCTCGAGTAATTCCAAAATATTGCCAAGGAAATATGGTCGTTCGTATAGTGACTGAGTGAGTTAGTTTTAAGGCGCACTCAGCAATATTCCAGCTATATGTCGGCGATCTGTAAATAATCGAGTCTGGACCAGACAGTCCAGTGATCAACAGCTTGAGCATCGATCTACGCATTTGGGAACCGATGACATGTGTCAACCAAGTCAGCGAGTCTGACCACCCGATCCAGTTAGTCGCCTCTTACGACAAGCATGGGTTACTTAAATGCACACACACTTGAGTGCACACCCACCGGCTCTGACTGGGTTCGGTATCCCGGCTGCTTCGTTTCTTGGGAAGTAAACCAAAGTACACAATATTGCACTTTTGATTTGCGATTGTACGCTTATAATTTTGTTTATATGCTTTTTCATAACCAGCAATGTATATTATATGTCATGAATAAGTGATAATTGTGTTTTAATTATGTTTGATTTTTTGGTTGCATGTGACCTTTAAGATCAATATTCTAACCCGGATCTTCACGGGTACCGTTCGTATAGAGCTACATGAAGCCATGTTTTCATTACGTAATTAATATATTTTTCATAGTTCATGTTTAAATGTATGACAAATGTATGACAAATGTATGACAAATGGAACCATTCAACAAATAGGAACCATTGACTCAGTATGTCCACACACTGTACATCAACCTCTTCAGTTGTATAAACTCAAATACCCGTCATGTATATATTTCTCCTTGTGCAAAAGTTGAGTATCATTTGCTTGATAACGGTGTTAGGATCTACACCGAAACGTCGCATCTACTGCAATAAAGAAGTTGTCTATCCATAAAAAGTGTGTCTCTTCATCATACAAGCTTCTAAATGCTACTTAAGGAAGTTATATTTCATTTGATTAAAACATTGTATTTCACGAATCTACCAATAATGTCACAGTACTGGGCAGATGTTCTTCACTTTTGTTGTTTTTCGTAAATTTCTGGCTAAAAATATAGAAATTCTGTATTTCGGGGATAGAGGGACATATCTGCAGTGCAGTACCGGGTCAGCGCTCTAACTCAGCCGCCTAACCCACTAAACCACCAATCTTAACGGTACTCAGTCCAACCAAAGTACCAGAATCTGTACTTTACTGAGAAATTTAACTCCAAATATAACACGCGTTACATTTGAACACTGTCTGAATGTCATTGCGTATTCATATCAGTCCTGTGGATTTACTCGACATTTCTTTAAACACGATCTTGTGTACAGATAACTTTTTAAATATATTTGGAGCGCCTTATACTCTCAATCACTTGAAGCACTGTGATGTGTGCTCTTATATTATCTTGTTGCAGGCTAAATGTCGGAAGGAACATTTGGGATATCTTATAGAAGTCAAAAACCAGCAAACCCAGACATTTATGAAATCATTTCTTGAAACTAAAAGTAAGTATTTTCATTGTACACAGAACAGAAGACCAAATGAAATCATTTAGACATTTCAGCATTTTGTCTCGAAATGAACTTCAGTGAAATACATGCTATTCAGTGCTAGAATCTAGCTTCTGGCATAAATATTATGATTATAAAGTACGAGTATCATGACGTCATAATGTCTGGTGTGACGTCACAAAAAATGTTTGCAGAAGGTTACTCTATTCAAGGCCTCGCCCTACTATGTATGCGGATTAATGACTGCCAAATGTTACTGCTATATGTGTTTTGTTTAATGAGACCTTGTCATTGGAAACAGAAAACATTTCATGAGGAACAGCTAGGCTTGTTTAAGTTCAGTTCCTACAGCATCACTAACATTAACGAAGATGCCGCCTATGCACCTTTTCCAACGGCGCTTGTATTCATAAAAAATCCTCTTTGTTTTAACTTCTTTATATTATTCCTTTGGATCCCTTTACAAAATTAACGAAAGTGCAGAAGCGCGACAGTTACCCTTCTAGGATTCCCTACATCTTGGCATGAAATGGGCATTTTAACAAATAGAACCGTGCGCGCAGGATGCATTTTCAAATTGAAAAGTTTCTTACCACCGAGTTTCCTCATTGTTTTAAAGAAAGTGATCTGTGAAGCGGAAACATTTGTTTGTTTGTCGTTTAACGCCACACTCAGCAATATTCCAGTCTGGACCAGACAATCTAGTGATCAACATCATGAGCATCGATCTACACAATTGGGATACGATGACATGTGTCAACCAAGTCAGCGAGCCTGACCACCCGACCCCGTTAGTCGCCTACAAGCATGGGTTACTGAAGACCACTGGCTAACCCGGACCTTCACGGACGGTGAAACGGACACAACTGAAATCGTTCACTGATCATGTGACAACACCTATAAGGTATTCACCTATAAGGATTTCATCTATAAGGATTTCGCTCGTATCCATGATGGGGACTGTGTGTCACTTATATCAGAATGATGAACTGATGCAGGGTCTTGTACCACAAACCGTTCTTCTAAACACTACGACTATCGTACGCCAATATGAAAGTATAGAAGTTACGATCACCTTACAGCTAAGATCGCTACGTGGAACGGGTCCTAGGTCCACGTAGAATACCAGAACGGGCATGGGAAACCTAGAAACATCATGATAGAGAACCAGTATTAGAACCAGGAATCGCAGGTCTCTACAATACCCAAGGAACTCTGATATGTGTCGCCATAGACGAACGAACGGAGGACAAAACGTGCCCGTGGACCTGAGTAATAATGGCATTGACTTGGGTGAGGTGAAGTGAAATTGGGTTTAACGTCGTGCTTGAGAATATTTCGCTCATATGACGACGTGCATGCATGTGTATGTGTATGTGAGGCTGCTTGTACTAGCCCAGACTTAAGCTGGTTTTATAGTGCTAGCCCACTGAGATACCATGCCGCAGTGAAGCATGAATACCCCACTCAGACACATTATACTGACTCCGAGCCGACCAGTTCTTGTTGTACCCATTAATGCCGAGCGCCAGGCAGGGACCAACAAGTACCATATTTAACGTCTTTTTGGTATGACGTGGTCTGGGTACGAACCCGCGACCTTCCACTCTCCGGGCGGACGCTCTAACCACTACACCACGGAGGCGATGCATTGACTTGGAATCTTTGGACATGATTATTACATAATGAAGGCAGCCTAACATCAGAGCACTAAGATCTGATTAGTTTGAATGATTCTATTGTGAGGTAAAATAAGCATGTTTCTGCGACGACGTTAAATAAGTCTAAGTCTGTTCTACAACCTCATTTCCAAGAAAGAAATGATTTAACGGTCAAAGTAAACAGTTATTGAGAAAGACGTAAAATTATGGACATAAATACGAGGTAAATAATGAACATTTATGTATTGATTTATGAAATCTGCATTCAACAGCTTCTACATGTGTGTGGACAGGCGCTAAACGGAAATTGAGAAAGTGGAAATGGTCCCACTCTGGAACTCCAATCATCTACCACAGCTGGTGTCCTCACGAGCCGGATGGTAACATCTTTTCAGCTGAAAACTGCGTTGAAGCAAGTCCAACAGGGGGCTTTAACTGGAATGACATGTCTTGTCTTGTTAAATGCCAGTCCATATGCCAAGCAAAGTGAGTGATGGTTACCTTATTATCAATAAGCAGGATCTGTAGTTATACCTTCGGTTCAATAATTGCATATAGTAATATTTCAAATAAATGCTTGGGGCTTAACGCCGCGTTCCGTACTACTAGGGTACCACTCATTGGTTCAAGCGTTCGCTCGTCAACCACCCAGGTTCGATGTCCCAAAAAGGGTGAAGTCAAATTCTGGTGTCCGCTGCCTTGATATTGCTGGAATATTGCTAAAAGCGGCATAAATCCCCACTCAGTCACTTCTGGAGATTACTTCTAACCCTGCATCATTGCGTATTAGTTACCATGTGTCCGTAAAGATCCGGGTTGGAATCTATCTTCAGTAACCCATGCTTGTCGTAAGAGGCGACTAACGGGATCGGGTGGTCAGGCTCGCTGACTTGGTTGACACATGTCATCGTATCCCAAATGTGTTGATCGATGCTGATGCTGTTGATCACTGGCTTGTCTGGTCCAGACTCCATTATATACAGACCGCCGCCATTTAGCTGGGATATTGCTGAGTGAAGCGTAAAACTAAACTAACTCACGTATTACCATGCATGTCTGAGGGTATGTTTCACCTTGGAATGCTTCTTGGCAGTGTTTAGGCCGACATAATTATGTTGGTCGTTTTCAGTGAAATCCTGTGAGGGAGGTGCTGTGAAATCGCTCAGATTAACACATTTAGAATAACGACTAACACATACCGTGTTATACCCTAACATCTGCATCCAAAACGATATTGGCAGGTTTGGCAGGACCAGCGGCGTTTCACTGTTTCAACAGGAATTGGATGTATGACGTCAACATAGGAACGTCTCTCCTGTTGTCTTAGTGTTTAATCTTAAGATCGATATAATATTTTTTATTATAATTTTGCTTTAAAGGTGGACAGGTAGACGTCAGAAGATTTACGACCTACGTGAGTAATAATTTAGATAAATATTTAAATACACGTGTCAACAAAGGTAGCTTCGCACTCCAATTGTAAAATTGTTATGATCTTTTATGTAAATGTTCCCACAAGATAAATATTCGACACTCACGAACATAAGTAATTATTATGATATTTTATATCACATGTCATCATATCCGACACACGTACGTCATGATCTTTTATGTACATGTTCAGACAATTTATTCATTCTACTTACGTAAGTGCCGACTTACATGTGTATCGATTGGACTCTCACATGCTGTGGGTCACCGTGACCCTATGGCTGGTTTGGTTTGGTTGTTTATTGCATTATGACCATCGATCTACGATGACAGGTGTCATCCCAAGTGTAAAGCCCATTTCTGCTGTCCTCCTCCGTGATATTGCTGGAATATTTCTAAAAGCCACGTAAAACCAAACCCATTCCCCTCACTCACCGTTAATCCAGCTTTACCGAGCAGATCCAGTCGTATTAGCAACACATCGGGGTATGATTATACTCAATCGGTCAGGTTGGGTCTATCAGATCCGTCAAGGGATGTGTGTATCTGCCAGTGATGGTTTGAACTAAGACTGGTTCTATAGTATTGCCCAACTAGATTCCATGCCCCATTTCCGCACTTAAACATTGCACTTGGACGCAATATGCTGAATCTGAGCAGAATACGTACCATTGTGTTGTAATTTGAAAAGGGATTCGAACCCCGACATCTCCGGACAGATGCTGTATCCACGGAGGCGCTCACTGTAATTACATGTACGTGCAAGATACCTGATGTGTACATACAGTCATATTATACATTGTACATCTGTAAACAGGCGTCCGGGGCTGGGCTTGTCTTATCAGATTTTGGTGTTATTCGAACATGAGCGCAAAAAATTGATTGGTTTAACAATCACACGAAATGGATTACCATATATGTGGAGCACAGTGGTGTAGGGGTTAGCATGCTGGCCTCTCAGGCCAAAGGCCCGGGTTCGAATCCCGGTGGAGACACCAACATATGTGACCTGGGTCTCATACTGTGTTGTGTCCCTGGGAAAGGCACTTCGTCCACATAGCACTCAGTCCAGCCAGCTGTTCGAAATGGGTACCTGAGAAGCGGATGTACGGACCTATACGGTCTTTGAAAGTACAATTCTGTCAGGGTAATAATGTAACGCCAGAAAGCAGCATCGCGTTGGATTCTAGGCGCAAACATTAGCATTACCATATATGTATTGTTCACTACTTTTCCGCGCACTCCAGCTGACTGCGGTGACCACGGGGGGAAGGGACACGGACAATCCTGCTACGTTTACAGATCCGACAAACTCACGTGGAAAGAAGCAAAGGTGAGCATATTATCGTGACGCAAACTTCCCTGATCATACCTGAACGTAATAATTATTCAACAAATATATTTATCATGACCAATATTTGATGACAATGGTGATCAAACTGGTGACGTTTTGCTTAACATTCAACAACAAAAATAAATGCTACTACTACTACTACTACTACAACTTCTACTGCTGCTACTACTACTACTACTACTACTATTATTTCTACTACTACTACTGCTGTTGCTGCTGCTGACACTAGTACTTCTACTACTAAGTTCTGCTGCTACTACTTTTCCTACTACTACTACTACTACTACTACTACTACTACTACTACTACTGCTGCTGCTGCTAATGCTGCTGACGTTAGTACTTTTACTACTACTGCTGCTACTACTACTACTACTACTACTACTACTACTACTACTACTACAACTGCTGTTAGTGTTGCTAATGCTGCTGATGCTAGTATTTCTACTACTACTGCTGCTGCCGACGCTGCTGCTGCTGCTACTACTACTACTACTGACCTGTAGTATAAGAAGCATTTGAACGAACAGGGTGCACAGGCTCGCTGTTTTTATTGATTGCGAGTACTTGTACCGATGACCTGCAGGGCGCAATGATATAATGTGGAAGCTATTGACAGAGGAACCATACTACCCATCAAAAGTTTAGACTCACTTAAAGCACTCATTATATGTTATGTATATATGTATGGTTACATTGAAGAGAATTTCTCCACTGACTAGGGGGAATCAACTGCAAGCTTTATACAGATGAATTGCACGAGGATCATGCATGAAATTGCTGAAAAGCATGTGCAAACATCGGGCACGTGAACAGCTGTGTTTTGGTGTAAAGTTGCGTTAAGAATTCGACACTTTTCACCGAGTTTCATCATTTATTGAACTCGTGGCAATAATCTTTTCAACGCTACGAATTTGTTTCACAATGCATCAATTCATGTGTAAACAGTACCTTTAAACAGTATGGGATATTTTGCAAAATCTAGTTAGAACAGTTGACTGAAGTAAGTGGCTACATTTACACTAGTGAGTCTAAAGTTTTGATGGGTAGTATATTATACAACAAACAAACGGTCAACACAGAATGACGATCATGATGATAGTTCCTGTGACAAATGAATGATGATGATGTTTAAGTATCAGTGGTGGACTGAAGCTGTCGTGTTTTGTTTACCAGAAAAGCTGCAATCAGATGAATATGTCTCTTGTGGAGATATTGGATGAAGAAGAAAACAGTTTTGTCCAATACTATGGCATGTCTTTAAAACGTAAGTAAAACGTGTAAGTTTAAAGTGGCGGTTTAGAATGAGACAATGCACACCTGTCACAATGTCACCCGCCAGTCAGTTGTCAATTTACGGCTTTAATTTATCCGGATGTAGTCTTTGTGAAACAAAAACGGAAGACGTTTAATGAATCTTTCATCAATGTTGTACCCTTGATGTGTGTATGAGAATTCCCTTGTAACGTATTCGCGAGTTCCCTATTATCGTCGCTTCTAAATACTGCTAATGTAGCTATTTTACGCACAGTCGCGATACGGTATGCCTCCGCAATATATGTACATGTATGTATGTATGTATGTATGTATGTATGGTGTATGTATGTATGTATGTATGTATGTATGTATGTATGTATGTATGTATGTATGTATGTATGTATGTATGTATGTATGTATGTATGTATGTATGTATGTATGTATGTATGTATGTATGTATGTATGTATGTATGTATGTATGTATGTATGTATGTATGTATGTATGTATGTATGTATGTATGTATGTATGTATGTATGTATGTATGTATGTATGTATGTATGTATGTATGTATGTATGTATGTATGTATGCTTCCGCAATATATGTACATGTATGTATGTATGTATGTATGTATGTGTGTATGTATGTATGTATGTATGTATGTATGTATGTGTATGTATGTATGTATGTATGTATGTATGCTTCCGCAATATATGTACATGTATGTATGTATGTATGTATGTGTGTGTGTGTGTGTGTGTGTATGTATGCTTCCGCAATATATGTATGTATGTATGTATGTATGTATGTATGTATGTATGTATGTATGTATGTATGTATGTATGTATGTATGTATGTATGTATGTATTTTGCTGCCACTAAGGACACATTTAGGACGGTATCTCAGCCATACATATATAACAGATTGTCTGGAAATCACTCGTGCCAGAGACGCTTGGAATAGGGTTCAACAGGGGTGGTTGCCTTGTACTGGCGTTTTCGGGTTAACGGGGAATGTTGTTCTACTCGCAGTCGAAAGTGGCTATTTCAGGGATAGCACGTCATGATGACAGGGGTTGCTTCGAGTAAACCTGTGTGGCATTGTGTTCATCAGTCCTGTATTAACTATCTAATGTCGGCGGACACCTGAATTGCAAAACTTTTCGAATACTCTTTTTCAAGTCGTAAGATTCAATTAAGCTGTCGTAGTCAGACTGGGTAACGTGTTTTATTCGCCTGGGACATTGCACATATAAATCTAACACTACTGTCAGACAATATGCGGGCGTTTGTGAAAGTATAGTTTAATATTTGCTACCCTGGCATAAAAAGGAAACGAACAAACAAACTGAACATATAAAGTGTTTACTTTCGGTTTCCTTAATATTTAAAATACACGTAGCACTACAGCTGGTAGAGTTGAGTTTGGTTTTACGCCGCACTCAGCAATATTCCAGCTATATGGCGGTACAGCTGGTAGAACAGCCAGGTAATCAACAAGCGTGTATAGTGAAATTGCAATTTCACACATGCAACTCGCACCCCTGGCTGTTCTACCAGCAATTGTTTAAGTGATCCCCCCTTGTGAAAATAGCGATAAGTGACAACACAATAATGATCGTTTGTTAAACAACTTTATTAATGGGGTGTCCAAACTTTTGAGATAAATAATCAGAGTTGGTCCGTCGATTTCATGTGACTGTACAAAATTTGGTTTTGTTGCAATTATTCGATTTTGTGGTAGTGAGCAATTCATCTGTCTCAAATGAAATCAAACGGACTGTAACTTTGAACAGATTGTTATACTCTACTGGGAATGACGTTCACATTATCACGCTGTTCTATTATTTTCTTACAAGCGAGTAACATTTTCTATGTACACGGCTGGGAATGCCTAACTCATTTGGTACCTCGTAGTAGTAATTCTTTATCTCGAATAACATTGAAACAAGTATGATGTACGGAAATTACCGATGTTTTGCGAATGCAAATCGATGGAAGGGAGATAACTCTAAATGTGTTTTTCTTGTCTGGCACTCCATAAGTTACGATCCGATACCTGTGCTTCAAACAGTTCAAAATTACCATTGAGGTGTTCAGTAAGAAAAAATACGTTTTTCACTGGTCCCTCGGGGCCCATGGGTTGATGTACCCTCGATGTTTCTTTATGTTCACCTCGCCCTTCGGGTTCAGGGAACATAAACAAACATCAAGGGTACATCAGCCCATGTCCCCCTCGAGACCAGTGAACAACTTGTAACCCTATACACTTGATATTTAGTATCTAGACATACAGCCATATGGTCGGGCCTGAATGACATAGATCAAGAAGGGAAGTGGATCTGGTCCAATGGCACAAAGGCTGACTTCTTTTCCTGGGCTCCTGGCAACCCGAGTAGTTTTGAGCGAATTTTAGTGAAACGTATTGAAGAAGACTGCGTTGAGATCAATGTGTACGGGAACTACAAATGGAATGATGTCAGATGTGGGCAGCCACACACATACATATGTGAAAGCAGGTAAAAGTACTTCCACAGACCACTCAGCTCGTAATATAAAGAAATGGAAAGCATGCTAAAGAATTCCTTCAGTATTTCGTTATTGTCGCATCCACTTTTATTGTTTTCTCTAAGATATATTGCATAATATAATGTACACTACTGATTAAACGAAACTACACATCGACTTGGACTGTTTATGTAAAGCATCTGTTATTGCTCATTAGTTTGGGGTGCAGCCCTGCTCTTACAGAATCACAGAACTTGTGGAATAACGAAAATATCAGATTTGAGGCAATTTAAAACAAGTGTTGTTGCTATTAAATGATTTGGTAATGCTGTATCTGTATCGGTTATTATTTGTTTGAGTGGCGTTCTAGAGGTTTGTGGTATAGTGATGACAAAACTTAATGGACGATCAACTTCTTTATATTTGAGTTTATTTTAACAATGGCTAAAATTAAAATTTAACATTTAAGTTAAAATTAAGTTAAAAATAAAAAAAATGAAAGAAGTTGATCATCCGTAAAGTTTTGTATCGGTTATATTTTATGTATGTTATCGTCTTTGCATGTGTCTGTCCTGGTGGTTCGTGTGTGAGTGAGTGACAAATTATAGACGACTCTGTTTTATGTTGCAGATGGATACGGTAACATTGACTGGGATTAATCCAGTAGGACTTGGTATCATATACTGAAGACAAATCCACGACATATTTGATGGCGCATTCCCGAATGTTGTTTCATTGTTTTGTTGTTTACATCATGTGTCCCTCACAAACATCATATAGCGACATCCGTGTTTTGTGACAAACTATTGCCATTGGCCAAAGAAAATGATATTTTCACACGTCACAACATGAGAGCAGTAAGTGAATAAGTTTTACGCTGCTTTATAGCAGTAGACCAGGAAAAAACAAGGCGGGGACACCAGAAGCGAGCTTCACACAATCTACCCGGATCGACACCGGGTGGTCGGCGTGACTCGCGAACACGTTAGCAACTCGGCTACCCCGCCGCGCTTCTTAGGAAGTGTCCCCCGCCGTGATATTGCTGGAATATTGCTACAAGCGGCGTAAGACTAAACTCACTCACTCAATCAATCAATCCTGTCTCTCGCATAATGATAGCAGCCTTTCACAATTTTAGTTAACCTGGGTGTGGTACAAAACAACCTTAAGCTTAGCGCTAAGACTAACTTAAGTTTACGTTAAGGTATAGGAGGTA